TATTTTTACAAATTTTCATGCATCTATCGATAGATTAAGTGTATCTATCAATAGATTGCTCTTTAATTTTTGCACATCAAACTTCATCTATCGATTGATAAGCCCGTCTATCAATAAATGACAACAAATTTATTTTCCAATTACTCTTAGACTTGTATCCATCGATAGATTTGGCGTGCTCTATTGATAGATTGCATTCAAAATGCTTCATGTCGCTCACAGGTGAACATTTATCGATAATCAAGAAGAATCTATTAATAGATGTTCTTCAAATTGCTTCAAATTGCTTATAGGAAACATTTATCAATAGACTTAGAATATCTGCCAATAGATCATGTCCAGAATCTAAATTTTTACAACTCCAAATCTCCAAATTCATTTATCTAAGTCCTTAACTCACTTTCATTTCAATAATCACTTGAATAGATCACATGACACTCATTTCAATATACACGCAAACCCTTAATCAAACGCCAAATCATATATAATTCATAAATCAAAAGTTAACATTGTAGCCTAAGTACTATATCTAATATTCAAGTACCAAGCATATGTACAATATTATCAAGGATCTTCAAACATATAAAAATTCTGTTACTATAAGCCCTACAATCCAATCTGTAGTTGTATGGGAATTACAATTTTGAGATATTCATGTATGACATTTTGTTATTCATAATAACATTAAGGTAGTTCTTTATCCATAAGTTTATGATTTAAATTATTTTATATACTTATGTAGATAAAGCCCATTGAACTATATACGCCTTGCAAAGAAATTGTATTGGGATACAATTATGAGATCTTTATGCATTAAAGCATTATTCCTAAAAGTTCCAGATCATTGTATTATTGAGACAAGGCATCAATAATGCTCAAAGATTGGCACATGTTATGTTCCTTACTTGTGAAGTAAGTAATCGTTCTCATAGATTGAAGTATAGAGAAACTTAGAATTAACATGTGGGTGCTTGCCATGGGAGAGCGAGTTCACTGAACATGACCCACCATGAGAATGCATTTGGTACCTCACTCAAGTGTCTATGCAATACTTCTCATGTGTACGTTGTGTAACTACTCCCTAAACTTGAGACATCAGGTTGTTTTGTATGTGGAGCATTATGCTTTGACTTTATCCTTATGGGTGCCTAACCAAAGATGTCAAAACAGGATGGTTTTGGGTATAGCATGAAGCATATGAAGGCAAATGAGTGGTCAATATAGGAATCATCACCCCAAGTGATTTAAGGAAAAATGTCTCATCAGTCCTTGATTGACATTAGCTTAATCAAATCCTTGGCCAAGGTGATTAGGAGATTATG